CTGCACCTAGGGATTGGGCCTGCCCTCTGCCACCCGGGAGCAGGCCTAAGCCAGCAGGTCGTTATCTCCTGAGGGGTCCCAGACTGCGAGAGGGCACAGGGCCGGCTGGGGGACCCCCCCTCCCCGCCCCGAGTGCACAAAATTTTTGTGCACCGGGCCTCTAGTATATTTATAATGTTTTAGTAGTAATTTTATTGATAACAAGAATAAAGTATGTATCATATGCATATATACTTATAATATTTAATTAGAGAGAGAATTTTCTACAAAACAATTTTCATACCTGGTGATTAACTACATTACCATACCTGATGATTAACTGCACTACTATAAAATAAAATGAACATACTTCCAGGTTTAACATCAGGCTGCTGTTCTTTAGCTTTTGGTTCTGACCAAGTCCACAACCAGTTAAACCATCCTTTATTTTCCTCTGAATCTTTTGTTCCTTCTTTGTATATCCTGTATCCAGCTTTCTTTAGCTAAAATATATAAATTTTTAATTAAATGACAAATTATCCTTTAACAATCTAAAGAAATATAAGCCTGACATTTCCAAAACCTGTTTACTTGAGTAAATAAATGTAAACATTATACAAACTGACAACAGAATAAAGTAACTGCAATATTAGCCAAACATAAGAATTTAGTATTACAAGGCAGTTAACCCCACTGTCTTACACGGAAAGGTAATTTAAAAAAAAATCAAATTGGTTTTTCATCTTCACATTTACTCTGAGTATAAATCCAATAACCTAGAAATAATATTTTTCCAACAGAATCTGATTTAAATGAATGTGGCAAAACATTAAATCAAATTTTCTTATAACAAACACAAAAAAGCAAATTTGAACCTGTTTTAGGAAACAGTATATTACAGCACAATACTAATAATATCACAGCACCTGTCAAATCTATATGGACTCTAGATTTGTTTTTACTATCTGAAAGATAATCTGGAATTACCTCAACTTCTGCCTGTTGTCTCACTACAGTTATATTAAATACATCCAGAGTCTTCTCCAACTCCTGAAAATATAAAGGAAAATGTATTTACATAAACAATTATAAAACAATTATAAATAACTTTAGTATATAAAACCTGTCAAATTGCTGTACTAAAGATATGATAGAAAGCAGAAAACAGATCATCCATCAACATAATATTCCTGGTTAAATTCTGAGAAACAATGTCAGCTTGGAAATTAGTAATGATAAAAAACTTTCTGAACAAAGAAATCTTACATCATGCATATGAGTTACAACTCCATAAGATTTACAGATACATACTAAAAGATACCAAACATGCACTGTTTAAAATGATTTTTATCTGGGTTTTAACTATAGGTAAGGGTAAACACAGTGTCACTTTCAACTAAAAATACAATTTATAAAACCTTCATATAACGTGCACAGTTCTTATGCCATCATCAATATGCTTCAAGTAGATCTAGACACACTTAAAACTTGTTTTTAAATTTTACATTTTTCAAAGCTGTTATGGCTATTAGAATAAGCTGATAAAAGCTAAATTTCTCATCACATCTCCATACATTATTTCCATGATTACATTTGGGAGTTTCACATGCAAAGAATTTTTTTCCCAAAGACAAGCAACCATGACCCACTATTATCTAGAAAACAACTTAGGGTGCTACTGTCCAGCAGGCTTGGAGGATTTAGGTTAAGGTAAAAATGGCTTAAGTATGGAAATCTGTAACCAACCCAAAGACCTCTAAAAACTAAGCATTTATATTAGTCTTGGTCTTGAGAAAGTCTCCTACCTCAAAAACAAAAATAAAACTCAATCTTTAGGAGTTGCAAATTGGATCAGAACAGTTACATTGGAGCAGAACAGTTGCAAATTGGATCAGAACAGTTACATTAATTTCAAGAAGTTAACTCCTCTTAGTGTCCTTAAGCTGTACTTAATCCATCTGTAAAACAGTTCCTTCTAGAATATACCACTGTAATGCTAAAAGATAAGATGACGAATACTTAGAGAACTCTCATGATAAATAATTAAAGGTAAAGTTGCTGGTAAAGACTAGAAATGCCACAGGAATTAAAAGAAAAAGAGCTCTATCTGGGCAGAAAATTCAGGAACATTCATATAAGAGATGGGACTGAGGAAGAACTTGAGGTTATAAGTAAAACTGGAAAAGCAAAGATGAGGAAAGGCAAATGAAATACATGAGTACAGACTTGGCTATACGCATAAGCAAAATGTATACGATAGGAAATTGTATTTGATTAATGCACAGTTAGATGGTTTACACAGGGGAAATGCAGTGATGACATAATGTAAGGCTTCGGAAACAACAGAGAACTTGGAATCAATGTACAAAAACTTTTTAGCCTTTGAGGTTAAAAATCTTAATATATAAAAACCCTGGGTTGTAACGACCAGTAATGACCGAGGCTCGACCACCCGGAGGTTTTTGATTAGCAATTGCTTCTCTCTTTCTCTCCCAGTCTGGCCAGCAGCCATGCCTCCATTTCTCTCCAGGCCTCCACCAGGGCTGCTGATCAGCCCTGCCTTTCTGATCAGGCCCCGTTGATAAGCCCAGAGACGCTGACTGGCATAAGAACTGATCATCAGAACCAAATCTGGGTGCTGTGGGGAGCCAATGGCTGCCTAGGAGGCAGAGCTTTTGATGCTGACTGGCATAGAAACTGACCAATCAGAACCAAATTGGCCAGCAGAGGAGGGCAGTTGGGGGGCAAGATCAGGCCAGCAGGGGAGGGCAGTTGAGGGCAAGATCAGTCCGGCAGGGGAGGGCCATTGGGGGCGAGATCAGGCCAGCAGGGAAGGGCAGTTAGGGGCGATCAGGCAGACAGGAAGAGGCAGTTAGGGGCAACCAGGCCAGCAGGGGAGGGCAGTTAGGAGTGATCAGGCTAGCAGACAGAGGTAGTTAGGGGTTATCAGGCAGGCAGGCAGGTGAGCAGTTAGGAGCCAGTGGTCCCAGATTGCGAGAGGGATGTCCAACTGCCTGGTTAGGATGTCCTAAACGGGCAGTTGGACATCCCCCAAGGGGTCCCCAATTGGAGAGGGTGCAGGCTGGGCTGGGGGAACCGCCCTTCTGTGCACGAATTTTGTGCACCGGGCCTCTAGTGTCTTAATAATATAAGGCTTCAAGTTATTATTTGCATGAACCCAAATCTCTCCAGATTCAGAATAATCTCATCTTCCAAAAGCTCCCAGGAGAATAACACCAAAGCTTCTATCACCCAACTGAGTTTAAACAGGAGTAAGAAAAAAATGTAAGTAAAAGAGAGAGAATGGTTTTTGAGGTAGGAGACTTTCTAGACGCAGGCAAATATAAATGCTTAATTTTTAGAGGCCTTCGGGTTGGTTACAGATTTCCACAATTAGAACAAATAATGAGGAAGTCCCTAAAGACTTAGAAGTTATAAGGCACAAAATATTCAACAATTTTTTAAAATGCTAACCTCCAAACAGCTGAGAAGTTCAACAGGTGGCTTCTTATTTATTAGTTTTTTCTTATAGAGTTCTTTATATTGCTTCATTTGTTGCCGATGATCGCTAATATGTTTCCATGACCACATCCGTAAGTGGGGGCAAACATTTACTTCAAGAATACCATGTATAGCATAAGCCCACCTAGTTAAAAAACAAAAACAAAAACCCTACACTTAACACCCTCAAACCAACAGTATGAAATAAACGGATATTGCTTCTACTCTAACATACGTAACTATCATTCAAAGAATATGAAAATGGTATGTAATGTGAGCACCTGCTTTTTCCCATCATATTTGTTTTTATAGTAATTAATATTATCTTTCCTAAGTGAAAATAAGCAAAATCCTTCAATTTTATTGCAATAAATATGTCTCCAGAAAAACTATTAAAATATTAATGGGCAAACAGCACTTTAGTCCCATGAATAATAATTAAAATAGTCAACTGAAAGAGTAATTGCAATTTCTAGAAACTATGCAAGAGCTTAATAACTGTAATGACAAGACTTTGAATTTCAAAAAGGGGTAGTACTTTATATACGCCCGTAACCTTTTCAGGTTTAATAACATGTTTAATGTGTATAATACAAAAATTTGAAACTTTTAAAGACACTGCTAAACAAAAAACTGGAATATGGTTCAATAATTCAAAAAATACAGTGAATAAATGTTATTCTAGTACTCCAGTTATAAATTCCATTATAAAGAATCCCTTAAGTAATTTATAATTGCAAATCAAACTATAGTTTGTGTTGGTCTTTAGAGTATCTTTAAAAAGTCAATAAATTCACTTTTATGTTATATTCTTAAAATCTTTTAAAAAGCCCCTAACCAGTTTGGCTCAGTGGATAGAGCGTCAGCCTGCGGACTCAAGGGTCCCAGGTTCGATTCCGATCAAGGGCATGTACCTTGGTTACGGGCACATCCCCATTAGGGGGTGTGCAGGAGGCAGCTGATCGATGTTTCTCTCTCATTGATGTTTCTAACTCTCTATCCCTCTCCCTTCCACTCTGTAAAAAAGTCAATAAAATATATATTTTTTAAAAATCTTTAAAAAAGTTTTAGTTTGAGCAAATCCACTTATGGAAATTTACCTGAAGAAAATAAAAAGACTACATCAAAAAGATATATGCACCCCCATATTCACTGCCACATTATCTACAATAGCCAAGATATGAAGACAACCTAAGTATCCACTGACGAAAGAATGAATAAAGAAAATGTGGTAATATATACACAATAATGGAATATTATTTAGCCATAAAAAAAATCTTGCCACTTATGACAACATGAATGAACCCTGAGAACATTATGCTAAGTGAAGTGAGTAAAAAAGGGACAAAAATATATGATTTCACTCATATATAGAATCTTTAGGTGACAGGAAATGAGCTCATAGGTATAGAAAATAGGTTGGTGGTTGCCAGAGGCAGGAGTTTGGGGTGAGCAAAATGGATGAAGGGGGTCAAAAGTTACAAACTTTCAGTTATAAAATAAATAAGTCATGGGGATATGATGTACAGTGTGGCAACTAAACTTAATAATACTGCACTGCATATTTAAAAGTTGCTAAGAGAGTAGATCTTAAAAGTTCTTATCACAAGAAAAATTTTGTAGATCCATATGGTAGGAATGGTAACTAAGGGTGATAATTTGAATCATTATGTTGTACACCTGAAACTAATATAAAATTGTATATCAATTATACTTCAATCTAAAAAATTTAAGACATTTTACCATTCTCTGGCATGGCCGTGAACAGGTACATCAGGTTTGAATTTCCTATATGGCAGATTTTGCGTCATCATATCAACTGATTCAAGAAGCTCCATAAGACTGAAATACTGAAGGATGAAAAAAATAAAGCTCTTACATGTTTCAGATTTTTTCCAATTATTGAAGCTAAGTTAAACTTTGTAAAGGAAATTTTACCATGTAACTATAATTTTTTTAAAAACATAAGTAAATTGACAAATAAAAGGGAACCAGAAGCATAAATATGAAATACATATAACAAACTGGCCTTTGCCCAAGGGGAGGAAGGTGGGAGTGACTGGACAAAGAAGGTGAAGGTAATAGCTAAAGAACACATATGCATACCATGGACACAGACAATAATTTGGTAAAGGCCAAGGAAGAGGTAGGCAGGGGAGGATGGAGGGGGGCAAAGGTGGGGGAAAGGAATAATGTCAACATTAAAAAATTTTTAACAAAAAAAATTTTTTAAAAGAAAAACATTTAAAATCTTAGTTCTATTTTTATCAAACTATAACTCACAATTTAAAATACCATTTAAAAAATCACCTGTGGTTTATTAAATTCAATCGCTATGTCATGTAATTCAACATCCAATTTTATCTTGGGGGCAGAAAAGTCAAAATCAGATCGGCGATTCATCTGAAGTTTGGCTTTAGCAGATATGGGGCGAAATACTGGAAAATAATATAAATTTTAATAAATTAAACTGAGTTACATTTCAAGAGTTTCATAGTACTAAAAGGAGCGAGTTGAAAATACTGATTTTCATGTCTTATATATTCTTTTATAGTTCCATATTTCTACAATGCTATGATTTGATCAGATGAACTGTCATTTAATTGGTGAAAAAGTTTCTATTATCTTTTTTCTATCTATAATTCACATTGTTGTCTGTAAGCCAAAAAAAGAAATAATTTCAGGAAGGATAGTCTATGGTTAACAACATTATCAGCCGAGTTATCCATCACCAATCAATATTTATTGAGTGCCTTGAGGATAGAAGAAACAGCACTCTTTTTCACTGCATATTTTAATAACTTATTTCTGATTATTAAAATACTACATGTTCATTTCAGACTATTTAAAATCAGAAAAAATAAAGAAAAAATTTAAGTACACATTTTTAAAATAGTAAGGTCACACTATAGACTGCAGCATCTAGCCTTATTAAATTGTATTTGCCATATTAAAATGTCTTTAAGAATTATCATAGCTTTATTAAATAGAGAACTCACAATTTATTAACAATCACTCTTATTGGACATTTTTCTTTCCTGGTTTTGATATATAGCCAAAAGCTCCCCAACAATGAATGACATATGTGTTTTCTTTTGCATACATATATGTGTGTGTGTGTGTGTGTGTGTGTGTCACAAATACATTTAATTACATGAGATATTAACATGAAAAGGCACAGTTACATCAACAATATTCATTTAAAATTTATTAATAAATAAATTAACAAAATAAAATAAAAATTGCAATTTTTACTTTAGGAAACATACTTACCAAAATCATAACCTTCTGGAACAATATTTTCATCAACAATGCCATTCCTCAAGCTGTCCTATAAAAAGATAAATTGCTTTCATTTATATTAATGACAATATATCTTTATCTCACAAAATCCTATTGTATGCAAATGAAAAAGTTTAAAAGCAATTTATAAAAAATAAATAACTCAAACTTAGGAGGATTTTGATAAAAGAAAATATTAAAGTGGTATGGATAATAGTTCATTAAAGACAATTATCTCATAAAAGAATACCTTAGAAATATTAAGATATATGTTTAAACATGTTTATATATAGGCACATATACAAAATATGACAAAATTCAATACCCATTTATGATTAAAACTCTCTATACCAAAGTGGATATAGAGGTACAATTACACTTGAACATAGTAAAGGGAATATATGACAAAACCACAGCTCATATAACATTCAACAGTGAAAAGTTCAGAGTTTTCCTCTAAGGTCGGGAACAAGACAAGGATGTCCATTGTCACTACTTTTATTTAACACTATAGGCCTGGTGCAGGAATTCATGCACGGGTGGGGTCCCTCGGCCTGGCTGGCAATTGGGGCCAATTGAGGATGGCTGGCCAGGGGCGAGGGACCGTGGGAGGTTGGCCAGCCACGGGAGGTTGGCTGTGGGAGCGCACTGACCACCAGGGGCAGATCCTGCGTTGAGGGTCTGCACCCTGGTGGTCAGTGCGTGTCACAGCTACTGGCCAGACATCTGGTTGTAATGGTCACTTAGGCTTTCATATATATATATTAGAATACACAAATTCCGTAAAGATGCAGGACACAAAAATCAATATACAGAAATTGGTTGCATTTCTTATACACTGGTAACAAACTATCAGAAAGCAAAATTAAGGAAATAATTCCATTTACAACTAAATCAAAAAGAAAAAAAATACTTAGAAATAAATTTAACTAAGAAAGTAAAAGACCTGTACACTGAAAACTGTAAGACTTTCCTAAAAGAAACTGAAGACACAAGTAAGTGGAAAGATATTCCACACTCAAGACTGTAAGAATTAATATTGTTAAAAAAAAAATCCATACTACCCAAAGCTACCTACAGATTCAATGCAATCCCTGTCCAAATTCCAATGGCATTTTTCACAGAAAAAGCACAATCATAAGATGTGTATGAAATCACAAAAGATCCCAAATAACCAAAGCAATCTTGAGAAACAAGAACAAAGCTAGAAGCATCACACTCCTTGATTTCAAGCTCTATTACAAAACTGTAGTAACCAAAACAATGTAGTACTAGAATAAACACAGACACATAGACCAATGGAACAGAATAGGGAGCCCAGAAATAAGCCCATACACATATGGTCAATTAATTTACAACAAAGATTAAATTTGGGAAAACTGGATAGACACATGCAAAATAATAAAACTGTACCAATATCTTACACCATAAACAAAAATTAGCTCAAAACGGATTAAAATTTGAATGTAAGACTTGAGACCATAAAAATCCTATAAGTAAATATACATGGTAATCTCCATGACGTTGGTCTTAGTGATGATTTTTTGGATCTGACACCAAAATTAAATGCAACGAAAGCAAAAACAAGTGAGACTACATCAAACTAAAAAGCTTCTACACAGCAAAGGAAACCATCAACAAAATAAAAAAAGCAATCTACTGAATAGGAAAAAATATTTACTATTCATATATCTGATAAGGGGTCAATATCCAAAATATATAAAGAACTTATACAACTCATAAGTAAAAAAAAATCAACAACCTGATTATAAAATGAGCAGAAGTTCTGAATAAACATTTTTCCAAAGAAAACATACAGATGACCAACAGGTACATAAAAAAATATCCAACCTCACTAATCATCAGGGTAATACAAATCAGAGAACAATATAATATCACCTAATACCTGTTAGAATAATTATAAAAAAGACAAGATATAACAAGTATTTGAAAAGACAATATAATATCACCTAATACCTGTTAGAATAAGAATTATAAAAAAGACAAGATATAACAAGTATTTGAAAAAATATGGAAAAAAGGAAATGCTTGTGCAATGTTAATGGGTGCAACCACTATGGAAAACAGTATGGAGATTCCACATAAAATTTAAAATAGAACTACCATATGACCCAGCAATTCCACATCTGGATACTTACCAAATAAAACAAAAACACTAACTCAAACAGATATGTGCATCCATGTTCACTGCAGCATTATTTACAAGAGTCAAGATATGGGAACAACCTAAACATCCATCGACAGATGAATAAATAAAGAAAACGTGGTGTATATATATATGTAACAAAATATCATTCAGCCATTAAAAAAAAGGAAATCTTGCTATTTGATACAACACAGGTAGACTTTGAGGGCAGTACACTAAGTAAAATAGATGGAGAAAGACAAATATTGTATCTAATATGTGGAACCTAAAAAAAAAAAAAAAAAAAACCAAAAAAAAAAAAACCACAGACAAACAAGCTCATAAATAAGAGAACAGACTGGTTGTTGCCAGAGGCAGGGGGTGGGTGGTGGCAAAATGGGTGATAGGAGTCAAAATGTACAATCTTCTAGTTATAAAGTAAGTATTTATTTTACATACAACATGGTAATTTAACATACAACATGGTGACTATAGTTAATAATACTGCATTGCATTTGAAAGTTACTAAGGGAATCTTACAAGTTCTCATCTCATAAAAAAAAACATTTTGTAACTGTGTATGGTGAGAGATGCTAACTAGAATTATTGTGGAAATCATTTTGTAATATATACAAATATCGAATTGTTGTACACCTGAAACTAATATAATATTTTATGTCAATTATTAAAAAACAAGGTGTGTGTTTATACATGGTTGTATACAGGTACATATATTCATCTATTTTCTGTAAATTCTGCTAATTGATTTTGCCTGAAAAAAAAAATGACCACTGACTACAGTACGTTAGGTAAATGACAATGAATAAAACTTTATGCAAAATATATCAACAAATGTGTATATATACATATTTTTAAAAAGTTACTTACCAATGAATCATCATAACTAGTAAGATAAAACATCCGAGACTTCACATTCCAATAAGCAAAAAGGTTATCCAATCGGATTAACTAAAAATAAAGAGTTCATTATTTGTCTCATTTTCTTTGAAAGATCATAAACATAAGCTATTTTCAGAAGCCTCAAATAATTGAGTCATATAACAGAGTTAAGCAAGTAAACACAATTTGCATAAATCCATATTATATATTACATTAGCTTTTCTAAAAGTCTCTTTTGTCAACTCAATGAGTTGACAAAATATAGTATTTATTTATTTTACCTTACGAAATAGTTTCTCAGTTTCATCATGTAAACATGGAGCCCAGTTTTGATCAGTTGTCTGGAATAAGAAAGGCAATAAATGTGTCATTTCCAAGTGCTATGTGGCAGAGTGATAAATCCTATCGATTACTCCCTATACCAATTTCCCCTTGAAAATGTCTTTGAAAACATAACATTCAAAAAATAACTGAACCACAAGTCTCTGCTTTCAATGAGCTCATTATTGATTGAAAAGCAAACACGTAAAGAAACAATTACAATCAAGTAAGTGCCACTACAGAGGTTAAATATACAATACTGGGAGAATACAGTAGAAGCCTCAAACCATATTTTTAAAAATGAAAAAAGTGATGTCTAACCTAATATATAACATATGAATAGAAATTACTGATTCTAAGGTCAATAGGGAATATTATTCATTCTAGAAAGATATGTGAACATCTGACATGTTCAGAGAAGTAAAATGGCCCAGTATGGCCTGAAAACATAATGTAAAACAATGAAAAGAGTTGAAATCAGATATCTTACCTGCTATCAGATTACAAAAGGATTATAAACGACTTGAAGGCAAAACTATGGACTTTATTATAAAAGCAATAAAAAGCCCCTGAGGAGAATCAAGATGCTTATTTAAAAAGATGGTTTTCATTTTTTTTTTTTGGTACAGAACTAAATGGATTAGAACAGTGGTTCTCAGACTTTATTATGCAATAGTATCACATAGAGGGCTTTTTAAAACATGGATTGCTGGGCCCATTCCTGAGTTTCTAATGGAATAGGTCTGGGCTGGGGAACAAGTTTCCAAGGCCCTGCAAAGGTGATGGTCAAAATCACTGCTGTCACAGTCACCAATGGCCTTCACAATGCTAATTACAACAGCTAACTCTCCATCCTTATCCATCCTTATTTTTCAGCAGAGCATTTGACATTTTACCCCACCGACATTACTGAGTAACTTTTCATTTGGCATTTCTTAGAGTAGACCATGTTTTTTTTAAAAAAAAAAAAGTCATACACAAAAAACTAATGAATACAACAAAAGCAAGCATGTAAAGAAAATACTCTACAGCAGTTAAATGGAATGAATTATAAATTACATGTGGCAACATAGATGTCAAACACATTGTGAGGAGAAAAGGGGAACTTAATAGAAGAATCACATAAAATATTTATGTAACTTTTCAAAACCTACCAAATACTATATATAATTTTAATGGCTATATTATATAAAAGTGTAAAAACTTAGGATGTTTATCTCCGGAGCTAGAGGAAAGCATAGCAGTAGAGGACAAAGGAATTTAAACTGTATTCATAACAGTTTATTCTTTTAAAGTATTTAAAACTTAAACAAATTGACAATTTTACCAACTTTTATTTCCATTCAAAGTGAATGCTTCATAATTCTGTGTGCTCCTAGACTTGTAAAATTCCTCAATTTGAAAAATTAGACATAAAGTATGCCACATTTTTTAATTTTTTTATAAAAATTAACTCCCTTGGTGTCTATTTTTTATGTTCCACTAGCAATCTTTTTTTATTTATTTTTATTGTTTAAAGTTACTACATATGTCTCCTTTTTCCCAACTGACCCCTCCCTGGCCACTCCCATCCCTAGAACGAGCCCCCACTGCCCCAGTGTCCATGTCCATTGGTTATGCTAATATGCATGCATACAAGTCCTTTGCTTGATCTCTTACCCCCTGCCCCACGGCCCCGGTGTCTGTGTCCATTGGTTATGCTAATATGCACGCATCATTGATCTCTTACTCCCCCCACCCCAGCCTCCCCTGCCTTCCCTCTGAGGTTGGACGGTCTGTTCGGTGTTTCATTGTCTCTGGATCTATTTTTGTTCATTAGTTTATGTTGGTCATTATATCCCACATATGAGTGAGATCATGTAATATTTATCTTTCTCCGACTGGCTTATTTTGCTCTCCAGGTCCATCCATGCTGTTGCAAATGGTAAAAGTTTCTTCTTTTCAATAGTGGAGTAGTATTCCATTGTGTAGATGTACCACAGTTTTTCAATCCACTCATCTGCTGATGGGCACTTAGGCTGTTTTAACTATTGTAAATTGTGCTGCCATGAACATAGGGGGGCATATATCCTTTCTGATTGGTGTTTCTGATTTCTTGGGATATATTTCTAGAAGTGTGATTACTGGGCCAAATGGGGGTTTCATTTTTCACTTTTTGAGGAAACTCCATACTGTTTTCCACAGTGAGTGCACCAGCCTGCATTCCTACCAATAACGCATGAAGGTTCCTTTTTTTCCACATCCTTGCCAGCACTTGTTGTTTGTTGATTTGTTGATGATGGCCATTTTGAAAGGTGTGAGATGGTATCTCATTCTCGTTTTGATTTGGATCTCTCAGATGATTAGTGACTTTGAGCATGTTTTCATGTCTCTTGGCCTTCTGTATGTCCTCTTTCATAAGGGGTCTATTTAGGTCCTTTGCCCATTTTTTGACTGGATTATCTTCCTTTTGTTAAGTTGTGTGAGTTTCCTATAAATTTTGGAGATGAAACCCTTATCAGAGATAGCAAATATGTTCTCCCATACAGTGGACTGTTTTGTTGATGGTTTCTTTTGCTGTGCAGATGATTATTTTGATGTAGTCCCATTTGTTTAATTTCTCCTTAGTTTCCACTGTCCTAGAGTAAAGCTATTGCAACGACATTTGTCTGATATTTTGCTGCCTATGGGTTCTTCTAAGATTTTTATGGTTTCCCATCTTACTTAAGTCCTTTATCCATTTTGAGTTTATTTTTGTGTAATGTGTAAGTTGGTGATCTAGTTTCATTTTTTTGTATGTATCTGCTCAATTTTCCCAACACCATTTATTGAAGAGACTGTTTTGACTCCTTTGTATGCTCTTGCCTCCTTTTTTAAATATTAATTGAGTATAATAGCTTGTGTCGATTTCTGGGTTCTCTGTTCTGTTCCATTAGTCTACATAGTCTGTTCTTGTGCCAGTACCAGGCAGTTTTGAGAACAGTGGATTTGTAATATAGCTTGATATCTGGTATTGTGATCCCTCCAACTTTGTTCTTCTTTCTCAGGATTGCTGTGGCTACTATTTTTATTCCATGTAAATTTTTGGAGTGTTCGTTCTAGGTCTGTGAAATATGCCGTTGGTATTTTAATGGGGATTGCATTGAATCTATAAATTGCTTAGGGTAGTATGGACATTTTAATGATGTTGATTCTACCAACCCATGAACACAGTATATTCTTCCATTTGGTTATGTCTTCCTCTATCTCTTTTTTAATGTCTTGTAGTTTTCCAAGTACAGGTCTTTTACCTCCTTAGTTAAGTTTATTCCTAGATAGCTTAACTTTTTTATTGCAATGGTAAGTATGATTTTTTTTTTTTAGTTTCTCTTTCTGCGAGTTCATTATTGGTGTATAAAAATGCCATAGACTTCTGGGTGTTAATTTTGTATCCTGCTACATTGCCGAATTCATTTATTAAGTCTGGTAGTTTTTTTTT